CTCAATATTATTTAAAATTGAAAAAGAGTTTTCGTGAAATTCCATTTTTCAGGTTCTGATATGATCTTTAGAGCATTTTATTTCCGCGGGGATTTCAGCCTTCAGGTTTTACTTATGGGTTAGGTAAAATACTTTTTTAAGTATTTATGCATCAGCTTGAATAGTATTTTTACGTTCATTCTACTGTTGATGCTGAGATTCCTCTAACAAGATATTCTTGCTTTTAATTGAGTCTTTTTTCCATTTTTGTTGACACCTAATTTCTTTTGAAAGGATTTGAATTTTTTTTTTGATGCAGATGCGTCCTCTTCCTATGTACCTATTATATGTTAATGCGCTATAACTTTTTACCAAAACGACTTCTTTAACTTTTTAATCAGGCAAAACGCATTACGCATCTTAATTAACTAACATCCGCTTAAAACAAGGCGCTGCAACGAATCTTAGAAAAATACGTTGCCGTTCATCATTTTCTTTTACGAACAATAATGAGAGCTACGGAATCACATTGTATTCAGACTTTCAGAACGTGGAGAACTGAGAGTGTATGTATACACTTCCACTAGTGTATAAAGATAATTGTCTGACCTTAGTATGCAGTGGTATGATGGTATATCAACAAGAACACACATTAAATTCCGGAGTATATGTAACTTATAGTCAACCAAGCTATTTAAATGTAGAAAAATTTAAAACGAACAAAGAAATATATGACTCGCAGTCTTAATCATGGGTAAATCATTCTTTTTACTTTAGAAACGTGGGTGACGTTATCACCATTGTGATACCATGTGATATGTATCAAATCTTAATGCCGGATTCATATTCTTAAGTCATAATCATGTAAAATTGCAAATGGCTACGACTCTTTAATTTGACCGATTAGCTATTTATTACTTGATAGCTAAATCTCCCGAATTTTTTACCGAAAAAAAAATACTCAAATAATTTTTATAGGATAATACAAAACATATTTGAACCGAAATGTTATTATTGTATCCGAACAAACAACCCAAAAAAAATCTAAATCAATAGTTAGTATAAATATTTGAAAATACATATATATTTCAAATGATCAATTTAATATTTATTTTCATATGATATTTAAATAAGTATAAAAATTTCAATAAATATCTAATTATCTATAAAGATGTATTTTGCTCTTTAAAATAGAAAGTGTAATTATACTATACGGTAATGTATATTTTTACAAACTATATTTGTTTTCATGTTTGACTTAACATTTTGTTGTTATTTTCCTAGTTTGATGTGTGGTGGATTATTTTCTATTCATGTAATTTTGGTATTTTTCTTATGATTTGCTTTTTAAATTTTATTTTATTTTACTTTATTTCAGATATATGAATCGAACTAATATAATTCGTATTCAAATGATATATAGTTACTTTATATATTTTAGGATGCATTACAAATTACAACCAATCTCAAAGTGTTATTATCTTAATCTGATTCATATTTTTAAAATATTAGAACGAAGTTTAAAAGAATAAATTCGAAAATTAAAAATTCAAAACATTTAATCCGATGGGTTTCTGAATCGGGAGATTCTGCGAATAAGAAAAAAGACTCCTAATAATTCAACATTTCAACAAAATTCTTAGCAAAAAAAAACATTTCAACAAAATCTGTTTTAATTAGCAAAGATGCAAGAATATTTATATGATTGTGAAACATACATATCATGTAATTTAAATCCACTTGCTTGGCTGCTCTTTAAGTTGGCCGCGACCTTCTGGGCTGTTTGTGAAATATTTAATATTAAATTATTATTATTATTCTTTTTTTTTGTAACAAGTAAATTATTTTTATATATTAATAATTAATAAGTAACTTAAATTGGTTTTGGGTTGTTAAACCAATTCCCAACTAACCCAATTTCTCTCTCTCTCTCTCACATAATCACATGTACACCATTAACATTCACAAACCATACCTACTTTCAGTAAATAATTTTAGGTCTCTTTGCTTATCATTTCTTTATGCCCGACCCAAATAAATAAAAAACGAAATCTTTGCTTATCATTTCTTCATGCCAAATAAATAAAAAACGAAATCTTTGCTTATCATTTCTTCATGCCCGACCCAAATAAATCAAAAAACGAAACTCATATCGTCGTTGTTTTTTCTTTTTCTTCTGAATAATATCTTCGTTCTTCATTTATATATAACCAGGTTGTCGTTAAAAAAAATATATATATATATATAACCAGGTCTTCTATGAATCTTGCTTCGTTAAGCTGCACGAACCAGTAAATATTTTACATCGAGTTCATGTTAAATTTCGTTACCTGTAACTCTAAGTTACACTTTATCTTTTCTACATAATCTGTAAGAATGAGTGTTCACTCGCTACTTTCTTATCCATTTTCTGCATATACCGTTTCTTGGTTTGACATTTTAACCCATCCGGTTACGTCCCAAAAATAGAAGATGTTAACAAATACTATATGGAAGAAAAAAGAAAGAAATGGTGAAAGAGCTATTTGAGTAGATCGAGCTTGCCATCACCTAATAATTAAGGTTGCCCATTGAATTCTCTTTCGGTTGTATTGTTGTTTTCTTCATGTTTCAGTGACATTGTGATCTACATATATGATTTGTTACACAGATAATCACCACATCAAGTTTAACTAGATTTATTTATTTTTAATATACGGAAGATTAAAAAATCAACATCTCTAGTTGACTCTGATGTTTTGTGATATTGGCTGTATCAGTTGTCCGAAATGAATGAATTGAATATTACCGCTCCATTCCTTTTACATTCACACATATTTGGAATTCTGGATAATGATAAAGACACAATAGGTTTTTTTCAAGGAGAGACACTGAACCAAATTTAATTAATTAACGAATGCAAACGAAACCATTTTTTGTTTAACAATATTTGTACGCAAAATCTAATTAACGGTAACAGCATAAAGTTAGGTTAGCTTTTGTTTGTTCTTTTCCTGATAAGATATAACTTAGTTTTCTCATCTAAAATGTTTGTTCTAAGCAGAAAAAGTTTAGATCGATGAGAACGTTAGGTTCTGATAACGATTCATAACTGTATATATATCCATAGTTTTGTTTTCTGAGTGATGTCTCTTTAGTCTTTCGTTTATATTGAGGTTCCTTTTCAAAGGGCTCTTTAAATATTGGCCTTATGTTGGCACATGCCTAAGTTAAAACCAAGTTGCACCTCCAATAGCGACGAAACATATTAATGCTTAAACCCTAATTGTACCTTTACTTTTATCTTGTTGAAAAGAATAATCAGATTGTTTTTATGCTAAAGAAGAATAATCAAATTCACATTTCACTATTCCTACTATTAATATATAAATACTCGACACAATAGGCTTAACATTTACTTAAACACAATATTATAGATTTTGAAATATATAAGTCTCTAACCTCCACTTTTATGTATCTATTATAATGAAAGAGCCACCAATATGTATCTTTTTTGCTAAACACACCAATATGTATCTCAGGAATAAATATTTTCTTTTCATATATTTTTTCCTTCTAAGACAATATCTAAGGAAAATCTTTGTTCTTTGTTTGTGAATATTCCTCACCTCTTAAATTGAATCAAGAGAAGAAAAAGTCGAAGATGGATGACCCTACGAACATGGCTATATAAGCTGGGACCAATTAATTAAATAAAAAGCTTTTCCACCAATTCTTTGTTTGATGAAATGTCAAGGAATTTGATTTCTTCATAAAGTCTTAGATAAGATCCTAACTAACGCTCTAAATATTAATCGTTTCCATTGAGTTTAAGGCGAAGTCCACAAGCCAACCCTATGTTTTCAGGCAAATATTTTCACGAATAAGTCTATATTTCAATAAAATAGATTACTTTATTGATTTTAATTTCGTATAGATAGTTTTCCTGTGCACATACCCAAACATGTCACATGGAATCAAGTAAAAATTGGTCCCTACATATCGTGGAACACTTGACACTTGAATGAACAGAAGGAACCACACATATTATGTATTTGTTTCTCACGTAGGGGAGAACCACAAACTAGTCATTCTCATCAAATCATCACAAGTGAAGCCATTATCTATTCGTTTAAACCAAAAACGACGTTAGTAAATATTGTTATCCTATTTTGTAATATTTAAATATTTCGATTCCTAACATTTTGTATTTTATATGAAACAAATTAGGCCATTATCCATTTGAAAGATTAATGGAGAGAACATTCATTCCATAAAAGTGATATCGATCAATATATATATATATATATATTATAAGTTTTCAATATGTTTTGTTTTGTTTTTTGACTAAAAAGTTTTCAATATGTTGTTAAAGAGTGTCAAGGACTATTAGTTATTCGGGTAGCTATTCTAACTAACATATTGAGGAAAGAAAGACTTTGTGTAGAAGACCTTTATGTCAAATTGATCGGTCAGTATTTGTCTACTACTAGAGTCTACAGATGACATATATAGAAGACCTTACTTATTTTTAGAATAAAGGAAAGATGACATATAAACCGCTTGGAAAAATATGGAAAAGAGAACAAAAAAGGATACTTATTGGTGGTACGTCAAAAAATAAAGGGTGGTGGTGGACAATGACGTGAAACTCACTCTCATGTGCAACTTTGGGAACATGTAACATGTTCCTTACTTCCCGTTGCTTCAGGCTGCACAAGGCCACATCATTCATATCTTGTGAGAAGAAGGAGAAGCGATGATTTTATTTTTTTTTTCTTTTGGATTTGTGTAGTCTTTAGTTATACATATTCCACTCGTAAGAGAGGCAATGTATCTCCATGGCAATATATAGTCTAAGAGAATTAAACGCTGATCTTAAAAGAGCTCGAGAAAGCTAGTTAATTAATGGGCCTGATCTTGACAGAGAGGCTTTAAATATAAGCCCAAAAGTGAAGGCTAAACTAATGGGCCTGAACGATAACATTGTTATTTATCCTATAAAAGGGGAAAGTGTTAAATGATCTAGGGTTCAACCTTGGCTGAAACAACCATCCTCCGTCTCGTCTCCGTCGTAAACATGGGGTACGATTCTTTCTCTGAATATTTAGGGTGTTTTGGTGCGTGATGATCGTTTCGTTTCTGAATGTTTCTCTTCTTTTCTTTCTATCTGTTGATCTGATAGCACCAGGATAGTATCGAGATCTGGAAAAGAGAAGCCATGTGTCTCCAACGAACTACCTCAACCTATTGAGGTTAACAAAGTCATCATTAGTCCCCTACTTGTACATTCAAATTGTCAAATGTTTAAATCATCGTATCTTTTTTTTTGTGCAGAGAAAGTGTCTCACTGTTCTAGGACATGAAACCGAGGTGTGGATCTTTCCTACTGAGGACACAGATTCCTCCTTGAGCGAAACAGAGGAGGAGGAAGATGATGAATCTGATGATGGCTTCCCTATGAAGCAATTGTAATTCTACCAGAATAAAAAAACCCTTTGCATTGTTATATATATATATATCTTTTGATCTGTGTTTGCATTGTTTTGATGATGCAGCTGTGGTTATAACCAGCTTGAGTCTCCTGTTTTCTCTGACCGTGACAGAGACCAACCTATCCAGAGTGGAACCAAGATTTCCGTGGAGTATGTTTCTTTCATCTTTAGTACTATATATATATATATTTTGCAATAATATATTTTGCAATAATTCTCATGTTGATTTTCTATGTTCATCTTCCAGTTCCACCAACGTCAAGTGCCTTACGAGGAAGAGTCAGATTTTGGCACAAAACTCTGCTTCTGTCCCTCATTTTAACTCCATTGAGGTGAGGTTAAGATGTCCCTCCTTTTCTTTTAACTTTTATGTCTAATGCTTAATTCAATTTTTTTTTTTGCAGAAAAAGTTTCTGACTGTCCTTGGACATGAGACCGATGTCTGGATCTTCCCTGATGACTCGGACTCTGACTCTTCTTTGAGTGAAGATGACGAGGATATATACGTCATTGAGAGAAGGTAAGACAATGATTGATATTTTAAATTTTCATATTCCCTAGCTATGAATTATTTATATATTTGGGGTTTGCGGTTGATGATATGCAGCTATATTGGCACTACGCCTACCAACTCTGCAATGGGTGAGTGAACTTGCTCCTCTCTATTTTTCATATCGCAGTCCTTAAAACTTTGTTTACAGCGTCTAATACTCTTGTCCTTTGCAATTCAGGTGACCTTGGAGCTGTTCCTTCTAATGTGCACACATCGTTAGCATCTTGCATCGAAGAGATTACAAAACATGTGGAGTTTTTGAAACAGGAACTTGCGAAACCAATTCCGTCTAGAGATTGCTTAAAATGGGCGGATCTATTGTTTTCTTGGATACCAAAAACGAAAGCTCTTCCTAACTATTCCCAATTAGCTGGTATGTTTTACTTTACTTTTACTTTGTAATTTTGTTTGCTTTTGCAGGTTATTCACGAAACTGTATTTTGTTTTGCAGGTGAATGTTGGTCTCAGGCCCTTTCCAGAGGCCGTGCTTATTACATGGCTGCCAATAAGATAGATGGAAAAGAATTAACCAGCGAACAACTTCTTGATGGTGTTCCGAAGAGTCATCTAATGATTTCAGGTGGAATTGATCGACTTGAAAACGCAAGGGACTTTATGGTGGAGAACAACTATGTCAAGGACATGATTGTCCATAGGCGTCCTGTAGATCCTGTTGATTTTCCTGGTTTTGAGATTCTGCTTGAGAAGCTGCTAGCAAGAGCCCCTGTGGTTGTTGTGTTCGATGTTCTTCCTGGGTACATGGATTATGATGGAAAAGTAAGTAATTTTTTAAATGGTTCAATATATTTTGGATTTATTAGGTATAAAATAATATTAAACATTAATTATTTAAATATTTTTAGAGTATATTCACTCCCGATGAGACGGAATGTGCTTTAGCTTCGTTTGAGAGACTTAAACAGCACAGTGTTGTTGTCACCGGGTGTGGGATTGGGCTGGTCGAAGGAGAGCCGATTGAGTTCTGGCAAACCCATGATACCAGGAGTTCTGAATGGGGAGTGGACGGTTTTGGCAAGTTGGCTCGTCGGTATGGTCTGATGGTAGCAGCGGTTGAGTTTAAGGTATAAACCACAAATATTTTTTTACTAGAATACAAACTTTTAATATTTATATACGTTTGTTTTGTGTGTCTGTGTTTAGTTCTGATCAGTACCGCCAAAATGATCACAAGTAAGTTAAGTAAAACCATTTTTTTGTTTCTATTGAAATGTTTTTTGTTTCCTTTATCCTGTCCCATTAAGCTATCCTATTGTTTCAGGCAAAATGAGGATGAGAGAAGCCTTGAAGCTCTTGAAACTTTTTATAATTTGTAATAATCACGGTTGGGTTATAAACAACTCGTCTTCTCTTGTTTACTCGTAAGATTCTAAGGCTTTTGATGTGTTAAGACTTTTGCTTCTTTTTTTTTTTGAGTTCAGACTCATACCTTTTGATGTGATATATGTTAAGGAAAATTTGACAATCGAAATTCACTATCTACCAAATTGCGCATTTAAGACTGTTGCTTCATTTTTTTTGTGTTCAGACTCATAGATTCTAAGGCTTTTTTCGTCCGTCGGCATGCTAATTTGTTTATTTTGTCTTTTTATTCCTAGTCTTTGCACAATTGCGTATTTAAATTATTAACCTTCTCATAAATGTTTTCCTCTCCTAATTTTTAATGTCTAAACTTGAGCTCAAACAATTAATAAATCAACTTAAGCAGTTTTATTAATATTTTTTTCTTAGATTTTATGTATTTGTATCTCTTTGCACACTGAAACTCCACAACATGATAAAGGGTGCTCGTGTGATAGTCTAAAAGACAGTGACGTGAAACTCACTCTCATGTGCAACTTTGGGTTCCTTACCTTTTGTTTCTTACTTCCCGGTGCTTCAGGCTGCAGAAGGCGACATCATTCATATCGTGTGAGAAGAATGAGAGGCAATGTATCTCCATGGCAAATATATAGTCTTAAGAGCTCACAAACCGTCAAACCGAACATAATCACCCAAACAAGCTAGTTGTTTACTTGGTGGGTAGGCTTTCTCGGCTCCTAGTTCACCTTTAGGATTAGTCTGGTTCGTCTGTATTGTGACCTGTACGACAGTTGCGTTACTCCCGTGCTCGCAAAGCAAATTGACTTTTGATTCCTCCAGTCCCGGACCATCAATATTAAAGAGAAAACTACTTGAAAACTAATTTTAATTTGTTTTGTTTCCAAAACTGAAACTGAATTAAAAGGTGTTTTAAATTTTTTTGTTTTAAAATACAAATTTTGAGTGTTTTAAAATTTAAGATGTAACATTTGAGTGCAGTGGAGTCCGAATGTTTCTTCTTAAGGCAAAAATTTTATACATATTATAATTGTTTAAAGGAAATTGCCTCTCGAATTGTAACTGTTTAAAGCATTTTGTGTATAAAGATTATGCTACTTACCTTTGTAATGGGCTTGAATCTGTTTCTCTCCCCTGTTTTCCACTTGTATTATGACATGTTTTTACATATGTATCTTATTAAATCGGAAACAAGTTATACTTAATATTTATTTTGTAAATTTTTAAATTAAATACATCTTACTACTTTATAATAACCTACATTAAATCACTAATATTTCTTTTTTATATATTACTATTCATGTTTCCAAACAATATATACATTTATCTCTTTATACTATTATCTATGTTTCCAAACAATATATTCATTTTTATATTATTATTCATGTTTTCAAACAACAGTATAATTAATTTCGAGCACCCGCGTGGATTTTATTTTTGGGTATACAGTGAAGTGAAAACACTGTTTTTGTATGTTTGTTTGAAGTGCAAAATTAAATTCAAACTTAACTATTTGTGTTAAAAAAACAAGTTGAGAGTTTAGTTATTTCTGATGTTAATAATTATCCAAAGTTTTTAAAGTAATATACTAATTTCTAGAATTTTTGGCCATAACCTTTATTTGATATGTTAGGTCAAATTCAAACTTAATTTTGGTCTTAACTTTACAAGGTGAATATTTTATGATGAAAAAAATCATAGATAATTTAACAAATATTTTTGTAATTTGAAAGCTTTATATAAAATTTTAAAACTAATTTAATATAATTTATTTATTTGTCTAATGATATCAGAAAATTATATTTTTCAAAATTATTTTTTCAATAAAAAATTATTTTTTAAAAAAATAAGTTAAATTTTAGTCAAGTAATATTTAATTTCAAAATAAATATGTAACCCCAAGTCAAAGGAAATGCATATATATTATTATAGTAATGTCTGTCTTAATTAGTAATTTTTTACTTATTTCTTATTAACAAATTAAATAAATTGACTCTTGAATAATTTCGTTAGAAATATTAAATAAAACTCATTGATGACATTCCAATCTTTGTGATATTTTTTAATTAAAGTAAACATATACACATACATATTAATTCATAGTCAACGTAAATAAATATACATATTTTGCCTAGTTGAGTATTTCTTATTCTGATCACTAGGGATCGTCCACACCGCGCAAGCGTGGGGTTATTGCCATTGGTGTTGTGTTATTTTTATCCATGAAGGAATGATTCATGTCTTTGGGCTGTTCTTTTTGTGATTTGAAGTGGATTAGCTTATTTATTGATTCATAAAGGTTTGTGGTCAGGTTTTGTAAGTGAAGGTTTGTTGATGTAAGGATGGATTGTTTTATGTTTTATGTTTTATTTTTTTTATTGGACTTGGGTATACATGTATATATAACTTTATTATGGTATTAAAATATTGTTTTAACTGTAGTTTATGATTATTTAATTTGTTTGCATTTGTTTTCATCTAAACATCAATTTTTTTTTAAAGAGAAAGGAAATAAAATCAAGAGCTTTATGCTCTCAGCCTGAATACATGGCTACAGAGTGGACATTTATGCAATGTTTACATGAGATGGTTCTTTAGGAATGCATGTCACCATGTAACGTGTAGTGACTGATGCATTTAGTTGTGGACATTATCAATATGCAAAATGCAGTCAATACTGTCTTTTTTAAATAAAAACTTAGTACTGTCCTCTTCATAGGAGGGAGTTTGCCGGAAATTAAAGAGAAAAACAAAAGCTGAAAATCATAAATATAATGGATTCAAAATCATAACAACTCTGAAAATTCAGAACAGACAAATTGAAACTATCATTCACGCGTGCATTAGCGGCTATTCTCTTCTGCTTCAAAACCGACATGATTTGGTTCATCATCTCTTGCTGCAACAATTTTTCTGGCAGATGCAGCTGCTTCTTCACCTTCGTTTGTCACTTGTGTGAAAATGTAAAATGCACGCCTAATAACACAGAAGAAGACATTCTTGAAGGAAGCGTCTGGCTTTTGGCAAATAGATGGAAGAATAGAGGGTGTCAGTATAGGTGGATTGGACTCACAAACCTCTTTTATTTATAGAGTTTGAATTGTTCTTCTGATTTTAAAACGAATAAAGCTTGGATCGTAAATAAAAGGAGACAGGGGGTCATGAGAGTGAATATGTTTAATGAGAACAACAGATTCACTGAACATGTGAAATCAATACGTTAAAATAGGGTAAGCAAAAGATGGAGATGAAGAGACTGGGGAGGTAAAAGATGAAGGGAAAGGTCTAGTTTTTCTCAAACAATGGATCAATTCAATAGTCGACGGAAGAGTTCAATAACAGAAATGACGCCTCATGACCTAAGCCTAAACGCATAATTTTATTATATTTGGGTTAAGTGCTTTAGAATGAGTTTCTAAATATAAATATAAACTCATACCAGACCGCACATAATTATACAAATTAAAACACATTGATAATGTGGTTGACCGGATGGAATAACACGCGGATCCTACAGGAGTCTTGAAACTCAACCATTATAACATAGCTCCCGCGCATACGTGGTTTCGGAGATATAATTGATGTATTCTATAATTTTATTATATCTTTTGATGTTTGACATATAATCTGAACCTATATAGCGTGTGAAGTCTTTTGTATTAGTCAATAAAATTTTCAAAAGTTCTATATATCCGCAAACATTATGATGTCTTGTTAAATGTCAAAGGTTCTTCTCAATCTTCTCTAATTCTCATAAATTCGCCATTTTTTATATTATGTCAATCCCATAAACAGAGGCGGCAAACAACCATAAACTGAGTAGTTCGACCAAAGTAAAGAGAATCAAAAGTTGAGAGGTATGCAACGACTTTAGCAACCGAGAATCCCAGAAACGGAGGTGGCGAACAACCACAAACTAAACAGTTCGACCAAATTAGAAAGAATCAAAAGTTAACAAGAATGTAAAAATTTTAGGTCTCGATTAGTACATATGATAATAAAATAGTATCAATATGTTATAAAAATAGTATACCATAGAAGCTGTATTTTTTTTTTTTTTGAAACACATACCATAGAAGATGTATACTCTTACTATTTTTTTCAATAAAGTGATTGATAGATATAATCATCATAAAATTTAGTATATAATATATTTATTTTAAATTAATATATATTAATAACATTTTCTAATAAAAATAATGCATCTTATTCAATTACATAAATGTTTTTATATTTTAAATGTGAAATATTAATATTTAAAAAATATATATATAATTTATTTTTAAAATATAAATTTATTTTTGAATAAAACATAATTTTAATATTATTACATAAAATAAATTAATTATATATAATTCATGTATAAATTATTATTATTTTTATTATTGGTAGAGCATTAATGGATTAATCTATTCATTTTTAAACAATATAAATATATTTATATCAATAATACATAATTATATTAAATTTAAGTTTGTTATTAAAAATAATGATTGATATGTGTAATTATATAGATTATATAATATTTAAAATGTGAATTACTACTTTTAAATTTAAAAATATTTAATTACATTTTTTGAAAAATATTATGTATAATTATTTTCATTTTTATATTTTTTAACTACTAATGATCTTTCAAAAGCTCCATATGAGATTTTTGAGTAAATAATTTTATAAATGTTTTTTTCATAAATGTTGATTGGATAATAAAAGTATAATTCTTATGATAATACTACCAATCAATCCCTCAACATCTAAAGCTGATGATGAAATCATCTCTGAGAAGATGTAATAAAATTCGACTGTAAGAAGAATCAATGAGAGAAGGAGATATGAAGGATTCCTCTGTCTAAATAGAGTATATATTAACCGGAATGCATGAGGTGTTATGAATGTGGTCTATTGTTAATCAACGGAATAAATTTAGGAGATGTAAAGGTAGAGTAAAAAAATTGATTCATGAAAATAGAAACACTCACTCTATGAATATGAAGATCGAGCGAACTAAGGATTAATCAGGGATACCCATAAATTAAATACTTTATTTTATTTTTAAAATAACTTAGGTACCATTATCTATTATTCCTATAATATGTCAAGTATTCATAGTATTCTGGTGGTAAAGACTTTGTTTGAAAAATAAATAACCTGAGTTCGATTCCTGACCAATTCAGTTTTATTTTTCTTGTAGTGGATCCCAAAAATATGCTGATGTGTATTATATAGAGTGAGCAAACTCTCGCATTATTATATATACTAGTTGCATATCGCCCGCGCAAGCGCGGGGCCGGTATCATTGATGTTTGTTTGTGTTTTTTGCGGTTGTTGGTTTAGTCGGTTATTCTAATAATACCAAATAATGATGAAATGGAAAGAATGTAGCAATAGTGTAAAGTGAAAATATTGTATATATAATGTGTTAAATGTTATTTATATGCGAAGTAAGGTTATAAGGATAACTAAATTATAATATAATTTCTAGTGTATAAAAATAGGTGTCTATCTTTTTTTATGTTGGAAATAGTTTTTATATCGGAGATCAATACTTGATATAATTATTTATTTATTGTATTTATATTTGTACTAAAAGATTTATCAATTAGAAAATAACTTTAATTTAAGCTAATATTTGTTGTTTGGGTTTCAATAGATAGGTTTGGATATTTCTTTTTTTTTTAAGTTTGGATTTTGTTCATGAATAATGTGGCATTTTTATTTACGGTGTCATCGACTGTGGAAATCCATTCGCCGGAGTCTGTTAAAAATGAAATTATAGTAACTATTAAAAATTGAAGAGAAATTACATAGTTATTTTATATATAACAAAAAAATACTTAATTTAGTTGTTTTTATTTTATTTCACATACAAAATTTTTTGAAAATATATATTAGGAAATATGTTCTAACATAAAATATATATTAGGACATGATAGCGCCGCGTGGGACTCGTTTTGTTTTTTTTTTTTTTGGGCTGTTCATTTTTTGAACCATTTTTAATTGTTTTTGGATTTGAGTTCGTCCAACTTTAGGATATTTTCTACTAATTTTGTGATTTAAACAATAAGCCCAGAGGTAAAAAAAACATACAAACATTAAAACTAAAAAGTCCATATGATAATAATCCAAACGAAAAAAACTAAAATACATAACATCTGAGTGGTTTGAACCCACATGTTTGTAGACTTAATTAGATGCCTCATACCACTTTGTTAAAGTGTATTCATTGTTTATAGTCATTTTAAAAAAAAATTATAAGCTTTTAAAACTTAAACGCGTGGGACCCACAAACTTGCTGACGTGGACAACTTTAGGAGCCTTAGAAGTGAAATATTATAATTTATAATATAATTTCTAGTGTATAAAAATAGGTGTCTATCTTTTTTTATGTTGGAAATAGTTTTTATATTGGAAATAGTTTTTATATTGGAGATCAAAACTTGATATAATTATTTATTTATAGTATTTATATTTGTAATAAACAATTTATCAATTTGAAAATAACTTTAATTTAAGCTAATATTTGTTGTTTGGATTTCAATAGATAGGTTTGGATATTTCTTTTTTTTTAAGTTTGGATTTTGTTCATGAATAATGTGGCATTTTTATTTACGGCGTCATCGACTGTAGAAATCCATTCGCCGGAGTCTGTTAAAAATGAAATTATAGTAACTATTAAAAATTGAAGAGAAATTACATAGTTATTTTATAAATAAGAAAAAATACTTAATTTAGTTGTTTTTAATTTATTTCACATACAAAATTGTTTGAAAATATATATTAGGAAATATATTCTAACATAAAATATATATTAGGACATGATAGCGCCGCGTGGGGCTCGTTTTGGTTTTTGGGCTGTTCATTTTTTGATCTATTTTTAATTGTTTTTGGGTTTGAGTTCGTCCAACTTTAGGATATTTTCTACTATTTTTTGATTTAAACAATAAGTCCAGAGGTAAAAAAAACATACAAACATTAAAATTAAAGTCCATATGATAATAATCCAAACGAAAAAAACTAAAATACATAACATCTGCGTGGTTTGAACCATTTTTAGGAAATATGTTCTAACATAAAATATATTAGGACATGATAGCGTCGCGTGGGACTCGTTTTGTTTTTTGGGATGTTCATTTTTGATCTATTTTTAATTGTTTTTGGGTTTGAGTTCGTCCAACTTTAGGATATTTTCTACTATTTTTGTGATTTAAACAATAAGTCCAGAGGTAAAAAAAACATACAAACATTAAAACTAAAAATTCCATATGATAATAATCCAGACGAAGAAAACTAAAATACATAACATCTTCGTGGTTTGAACCCACATGCTTGTAGACTTAATTAGATACCTCATACCACTTTTCTAAAGTGTATTCATTGTTTATAGACATTTTAAAAAAAATTATAAGCTTTTAAAATTTTGCTAGTGTATAAAAATAGGTGTCTATCTTTTTTTTATGTTGGAAATAGTTTCTATATCGGAGATCAAAACTTGATATAATTATTTATTTATAGTATTTATATTTGTACTAAACGATTTATCAATTTGAAAATAACTTTAATTTAAGCTAATATTTGTTGTTTGGGTTTAAATAGATAGGTTTGGATATTTCTTTTTTTTTTTTAAGTTTGGATTTTGTTCATGAATAATGTGGCATTTTTATTTACGGCGTCATCGACTGTGGAAATCCATTCGCCGGAGTCTGTTAAAAATAAAATTATAATAACTATTAAAAATTGAAGAGAAATTACATAGTTATTTTATAAATAACAAAAAATACTTAATTTAGTTGTTTTTATTTTATTTCACATACAAATTTTTTTGAAAATATATATTAGGAAATATGTTCTAACATAAAATATATATTGATAGCGCCGCGTGGGACTCGTTTTGTTTTTTGGGCTGTTCATTTTTTGATCTATTTTTTAATTGTTTTTGGGTTTGAGTTCGTCCAACTTTAGGATATTTTCTACTATTTTGTGATTTAATCAATAAGTCCAGAGGTAAAAAAACATACAAACATTAAAACTAAAAAGTCCATATGATAATAAAACGAAAAAAACTAAAATACATAACATCTGCGTGGTTTGAACCCACATGCTTGTAGACTTAATTAGATGTCTCATACCAATTTGCTAAAGTGTATTCATTGTCTATAGTCATTTTAGAAAAAATTATAAGCTTTTAAAAGTTAAATGCGTGGGACCCACAAACTTGCTGACGTGGACAGTTTTATGAGCCTTAGAAGTGAACTACTATAATATAGATTTTCTACTTAATTTTTTTTTGTGAAAATAAACTAAAAAACTATCCTAGAGAATTTCTTTTTCTTATTTTTTTAATTAAGAAAAAATCTAGAAAAGAAAACAGCATATTTTATTCAAACCGGAAACATGCCGGTTTAGAATTCATCTAGATAACCGGTTTTCGAGCGAAAATAAACCGGGTTTAAAGAACATTACCCAAAAAAAGGACCAAAACCCTCAGAGCTTCTGTCTGTCTCTGTCTGTTACCACACTTCACCGTCGAGACTCGAGAGTGAGAGAACACAAACAACAATGGCGGCTACCACGACTCTAGGCTTTCTTCTACCGACTGGTCTATCTCCCCGTCGCGGTGGATTTAAGGTTTCACTGATCCGATGCTCCGCTTCTCCTCTCACCACCTCTGGTAAGCTTTTTTCATCTAAAGGATAAACCTTTCGATTTGAAACACAGATAGTTTGAAAATGAAGCCAAACCCTTTACTCGTAGGTCTTGTGGAGAAGCCTTGGGATTCATACAACGCCAGGCTTGTGTTAGAAGACGGCTCAATCTGGCCAGCTAAGTCATTTGGTGCTCCTGGAACCCGTGTTGCTGAATTGGTCTTTAACACCTCCTTGACAGGGTGAGAACTTGTTTTGTTTGTTTGACTATCATCTTATTGCATTTATTTTTGACTGGAGTTTGATGATTATGTGTGTGTTTTGTAAAAAGGTATCAAGAGATTCTGACTGATCCTAGTTATGCTGGACAGTTTGTGTTAATGACAAATCCACAAATTGGTAACACTGGTGTGAATCTCGGTAAGTTGCAAAGTCCAAGACTTTGAATGTTACCCAAGTTTTGTATACCTCTGTGTACTTATCTCTTTAAGTATGTTTAATGTTTGTTATAGATGATGAAGAATCTGAGCAATGCTTCCTTGCTGGTTTGGTGATAAGAAGTCTAAGCATCAGGTTAGTGTGCATTCTCATGTCACTCATATTACCGTTTGTCTTCCCTTTATCCTCCATCTAAGATGGACCGTCTTGAATATCGTAACTAGGCTTGGCATTTTGGGTATCGCTTTGGGTTGGGTATCATATAAGAGACTAAAGGATCTATTTACTACGTAACCTATTTTCGGTTCCTTCTGTTAGTAAAACTAGGAACCGGAAAATATCTTTTGGTTCGGTTCGGTTACTTCGAGCAATTCCGATAAAATATTGAATAATTTAGATGATTCGGTTAAAAGTCTCAGATAATTCAGACTACTTTAGATATTTCAAATAAATATATTTGGATTATTTTGAATAATTTTGGATAGTTCGGATACTTTTAATAAATTGTCCTTTTTTAAAATACTTTAGAATAATTTACTATTTAAAAATATTTTTGGTTCTGGTTCGGTTATTTTGGATATTTGAACGTTATTTCGGTTTGTAATCGTAACCTTATGTTTCAGTACCTCAAACTGGAGATGCACTAAGACACTTGCTGACTATCTAACCGAAAGGAACCTCATGGGTGTTTGTAAGTTCCTTACAATGTTATGTAGACTCTGCATCTTATATAGCATTTGGTTTTGAAAACATCTTTGGGGTGTTTGTTTGCTTAGATGATCTTGACACTCGAGCAATAACACGTCGGTTAAGAGAAGAAGGTAGTCTCAACGGTGTCCTAACCACAGACCAAACCAAAACAGACCAAGAGCTTCTCCACATGTCCCGTTCATGGGACATCGTAGGCATTGATCTAATAACTGACGTCTCCTGCAAATCTCCTTACGAGTGGGTCAACAAAACAGACTCTGAATGGGATTTCAACACTGCTTCACGCTCCGGGAAACCCTACAGAGTTATTGCTTATGACTTTGGCATCAAACACAACATCCTAAGACGCTTGTCCTCTTACGGATGCCAAATCACTGTTGTCCCATCGACGTTTCCAGCTTCTGAGGCGCTTAAAATGAATCCAGATGGGATTTTGTTCAGTAACGGACCTGGAGACCCTTCTGCTGTTCCATATGCTGTTGAGACGGTTAAAGAGCTTTTAGGGAAAGCTCCTGTGTATGGTATATGCATGGGTCATCAGTTACTTGGTCAAGCTTTGGGTGGTAAGACTTTCAAGATGAAGTTTGGTCATCATGGTGGAAACCACCCGGTTCGTAATAACAGAACTGGTCAAGTGGAGATCAGTGCTCAGGTATAAACATAAAATGGTTGTGTTAGGAATGTTGTTTACAAGTTTGATTGGTGTGTATCATTGTGTCTTTTTTTGTAATTTTTTGGCAGAACCATAACTATGCGGTTGATCCGGCTTCACTACCTGGAGGTGTAGAAGTGACACATGTTAATCTTAATGATGGAAGCTGTGCGGGTTTATCTTTCCCGGCGATGAATGTTATGTCTCTCCAGTACCATCCTGAAGCCTCCCCTGGACCTCACGACTCTGATAACGGTAACTTTCTTTTCTTTATTTATCAGACAAGTGATCCCAATGTCTAGTGAAAGACACAGAAGGGAAGAGTAGTCATGTGTGTTTGTTTGTTTTGTGATTGCAGCATTTAAAGAGTTCATAGAGCTTATGAAGAGATCCAAACAAAGTTCTTGATCATGGGAAGTAAAACAAGTCTTTTGTTTATTGTACTATTTGGTTCGCATTTTTAAAGTTAAACGCAAGTGTTTTGTTAGTGACAATGGAGTGAAATTATTGTTCTGGATGTGACTATGTTAAGAAACCAACATCACACACCTAATAAATAAAGTTAAAAAGTTGAAGAGAAGAATGGAACCCTTAGAACACCTCCATTGAGGAGAGATACTATGGTTTTGATTGGTGATGGTTATCAATCTCATTATTATAACCAAAATAGTTATGTAAATGATGTAGGAAAGTCAAACCTGAAATTACAAAATGTTACTAGTATTTGAAAATTGATATTTTCTAAAATCTGAATATTAAGTATTCACATATAGCACAATTTTGATAATGAGTTATGTATAAAACGTATTAGATACTATAGTTGAATTTGGTAAAAAGTTATTACTCTTTCAATAAAGAACAAATCAAATACTAGTAGTTTATTAAACAGTTGTCGAAAGATGTTTACGAGAGAAAAACTTGTTTTTAAAAAAAAAAAGTTGTGTAGAAAGTTGTGAGATGGTGTCTAATTTATTTTTAACCTTGAGAAACCTCTTTATATATATAAGATTGAACAGTATTTTTTCATTTTCTTTCACCACTTTTCCTTTCATTTAAAAATACTTTCTTGTGTCCATTTTCTTTACATTATCGAATACTTTATTTATTTTTTCCAGTTTCTAGTTATCAAACGGGCTCATTTGCATATCCCTTTGACAATGAAGTTCGAGTTGCTTTTGTTTTACTCAAGTTAACGTAAAATAAAGACAAACAAATATATTGTTTAATTTTGTTAAAATAAGTATATATATCAAACAAGCTCATTTGCATATTCCTTTGACAATGAAGTTCGAGCTCCTTTTGTTTTACTCAAGTTAATGTAAACTAAAACAAACAAATATATTGTTTAATTTTGTTAAAATAAGTATATATATTAAACGAGCTCATTTGCATATTCCTTTGACAATGAAGTTCGAGCTCCTTTTGTTTTACTCAAGTTAATGTAAAAAAAAAACAAACAAATATTAAAAAAAAAAAAAAAACAAATATTTTTGTTTGATTTTGTTAATATAAGTATATATATCAAACGGGCTCATTTGCATATTCCTCTGACAATGAAGTTCGAGCTGCTTTTGTTTTTTCCAGTTAATGTAAAATAAAGACAAACAATATTTTTGTTCAATTTTGTTAATATAAGTCCCGTAATTATTAATAAGAAAGTAAATATAATTGAAGAATCGACAAAAAAAAAATATTTAGAGAAGAAAATAGCCAGACTTTTAGGTAAGCCCAATGGGCCTGGGTCCATGAAATTATCCTATAAAGGGGGAGCTGTTTTTTTTTACTGAAAAAAAAAAGCTGTTGAATAATCTAGGTTTTCAAACGTTGTTGAAACCCCATTTTCCTTTGATCGTCTCCGTCGTAGAAACATGGGGTACCATTTCTTACGTCTCTTAGTTCCCTTGTACTTCTTCATTGTGTTTGTTTCTGAATGTCTAGTTTGGTTATCGTCTCCTTCTTCCTTCGGGCTTTCCTTCTTCCTCCTAAATGCTTAGTTTGGTTGATCGTATATTTCCTCCTTATGGCTCTCTCTGTTTGTTAAGTGTGATCGATCGTCTTTTTCTTCCTTGTATCTTTTGGTTGGTGCGTGATTGCGTGTTAATTTTAATGTTTGTAGTTTGACTGTTTCGCTCTCTTTTTTCTATCTCTTGAACTGATAGCACCAAGAGAGTTACAAGATCTGGAAAAGAGCAATGTGTCTCCAACAAACCTTATTTCAACTTTATCGAGGTTAAAAATATATCATTAAATCTTTTTTTTTTTAATTATCATTAAAAATTATCATTAAAAATTATCATAAAAGTATCATTAATGATCATTAAAAAAATTATCATTAATGATTAAATCCTTTTTTTAAACAATTATCATTAAAAAAAATATCATTAAATTTGAGAATTCAGGTTAAAAAACTATCATTACATCTGTTTTTTAGTTATCATTAAAAAAATTATCATTAATGATCATTAAACTAATTATCATTAAAAAATTAAATCTTTTTTTTAACATTTATCATTAAACCTTTTTTTTTTTGAACCATATTCAAATGCTTTGAATCATCTTTTTTTTGCAGGAAACATTGGTGAGTGCTAGTGGAGTTAAGACCAAGGTGTGTGCGCTCCCTCCTGGTGCCTTGAACGAAGAATTCAAGGAAGGATCTCATCACTATCATGGAGTCGTCCTTGAGAGATTGTATGACAAGAAGAAATAATTTGCTTTGTTCTATATCTTTTTATCTGATTATTCCCTGGGGTTTGATTATGCAGCGGTTGTGGGGTTAACCCGCATGCGCATGTTCACTCCAACTCTAGCGCACCAAATATCCAGAATAGAAAGAAAGGGTATGTTTCTGTCTCTTTAGGCTTAGTTCATCTTTAGTATATATATTTAACAATAATTATTCTCTCTGTTCAATGACAGTTTCACCAGAGGTTGCAAGGTCAACTACCTTAGGAAGAGGAGCAAGAGATTGGCACACAAGCTTATCAAATATGGAAAGAAGCTTGCTCCTGTCCCCTATTTCAACTTCATTGAGGTTAAGATATCCTCATTTCTAACCATGGTTAGATTGTGTCAAATGCTTTGAATCTTCTTTTGTTTGCAGGAAACGTTGGTGAGTGCTAGTGGAGTTAAGACCAAGGTGTGTATGCTCTCTCCTGGTGAGATGTACTCTGCTTTAGACGAAGAATTCAAGGAAGGATCTCATCACTATCATGGAGTCGTCCTTGAGAGATTGTATGACAATTTTCTATCCATAGGATCTCTCTATAATTTATTTTTTATATATATATTGTGGTTGATGAGTCACTTTTTGGTTGGTTATGCAGCTGTATTGGGACTAGGCATTCCAACCCTGAAATCCGTGAGTGTGCTTGATTCTCTGTTGCGCATATTGAACAGTCTTTGATACTTGGTCTAATGCTCTTTCCTTTGCAAATTTCAGGTGGCGATGCTGCTGTTCCTTTTTATATTTTGTCTTAGTCACCTTTGGGTTATAACAACTCTTGTGTTCTGCTGTTTTACTCTTAAGATTGTAAGGCTTTTGATGTGTTAAAAGACTGTCTTTTATTTAGTTTAGACTTTGGACTCGTACCTTGTGATTTTTTTTTGGTCAGACTCTTACCTTATGATATATGTTATCGGTGTTCAGCTTCTTTTTTCTTCTGTGTCGGCATGCTAAGATACTTCGTTTTTATTGTCTTTTTTTTATATCTACTCTTTGCACAACTGCGGGTTTAATTCATAACTTTCTCATAAATGTTCCTCTCCCAATTTTAATATCTAACGTCCACCTCAAAAAATTAAGTAAACGTACCAGATTCATTAATATTTTTCAAATACAATTATGTGTTTGTATAGCTTGCAACATGAAAAGCATCCAAAGGCACAAAAACTGTTTGGACATGGAAAAACTAGCTTGCAACATGAAAAGCATTTACATATATAAATGTAATTTTTTTTTTTGTTTTTACATCAGTAGTAGGAAATATTCCAATATTAACCATATTTTCAAATGTTTATATGACTTTTCCAAACACAAGAATAATGTTATAATTTACATGTTACTCATCTAGTTAACTGTTTTAAATCGTCACATTTATTTCTCAATTCAATAATATATAGATTTATTAGATTTACATTTCATTATCCTCTATATATTAATAGAGAAACATTTAAAAAGTTATAGCATATAGTTTGTACTAATTAAAAAATTCTCTGCTGAGTTGTCCCGTAATTAGAATGTTAATTTTGTTTACGTAGTGGTTTGGGAATCAATTGAGAATTTTGTTAGTTCCAAAATTAATTTCTAGAGAATGTTATATTATGTTCATTAGACCATTCATTTATCAAATTAAAATTTATTATAAATTCATTCTTTAAATAAAATTAATCAGACAAGTGATCCCAAACTCTAGTCAAAGACACAGAAGGGAAGAGTAGTAATGTGTGGTTTTTGTTTGTTTGTGATTGCAGCATTTAAAGAGTTCATAGAGCTTATCAAGAGATCGAAACAAAGTTCCTGATCATGGGAAGTAAAACAAGTCTTATGATTTTTGTACTATTTGGTTTGCATTTTTAAGTTAAACGCAAGTGTTTTGTTAGTGACAATGGAGTGAAACTATTGTTCTGGATGTGACTATATTAAGAAACCAACAGAACACACATAATAAATAAAGTTAAAGTTGAAAAGAAGAATGGAACCCTTAGAAACCTCCATTGGGGAGATACTATCGTGTTGATTGGTAATGGTAATTAATCACATTATTATAACCAAACTAATTATATATTTGATGTAAGAAAGACAACCTGAAATTACAAGATGTTACTAGTAGTTTTTTTCTCAAAAGAATCAAATAACTGTTTTACAAACAATAATAATCTCACGAAGTTCATAGAAATTCAGTTTCTTTGCAATTTCTTATGGCTAATACTACTCGAATTTAGGGCGAAAATTCTAGTTGTAATCTCTTTACCACTAGACCAAAACAATTTGGTTAAACTTCTAAACGATTTTCTTTTGTAAACATAAATTTATTATGACCTATAACATTTCAAATCATCTTAAACAATAAAGAAGTTATATATGAAAAACCCTACAAAAATAACAAACTTATTACGTTTTGTTTTTTTTTTTTTTGGAACTCTACAAACTTATTACGTATATAATGTAATTATTACACATTTAAGTATGTAATTTTTCCCTGGAATTATTGTCATCAAGTGACACATGAATGATGTCACTTTTTTCAACAAAGGATTTACGGTTTTAAATATATTTTAGTTTATTTAGATGTTCTTTATGTGCATTTGGATCTGTGCATTACATTCGAGTGAAATTGGGCCCGTTAAAGCTAAAAGAGAATAATAATCGATGAGGCATCTCTCTTTCAGACTGCTTTCGATCCAATTTCAACATTATTCAAGAATCTCCTTTTGTTCTCTTCTTTAACAACTTTCATCATTTATCGTTTATCACATTTTATCTCGTTACAATGGATGAAAACTATGTTAGATTTCCTATAGTAAAGTGTGTTCCTCTTCTCTTATTTACTTCTCTTTACATACGAAAATAAATGTTCAATCCAAAAACTAAATTTCGATTGTATGATATCAACCTTGTCGCTGTCATTCATTTTTTTTTTTGGTCGCTGTCATTCTTGAAAACATGTAGCTCTTGATTCTTATTTATACAGCACGTAACGCTTCATCATGTGATATGATGTATAAAAGCTTGATTCCATTAACTTCATTGGTTTAGACAGCGGTTTTCAACAAGTTATTAGAGAATATGTTTCTTTTAGCATCAGAGAAAAGTATATATAAATAGGTGGTTAAAGAGAAAGTTGTATGATCATTATCCTCTCTTGGCTTTGCTGATCGTCTTTGCTTGTTTTTCAAACATTCGGGCCACACATATGAATAAATGATCACCTTCATATGCATTTATGCATGCATGTGTGTGTATGAAGTTGGATTGAATGATTATTAATATTCCTTCTTTAAGAAATGAACAAATGAAAGATGTCCACTAAAACATAAACTCCGTAGTAGGAGAAGATGCTTCTCCACGACATCAAGCTACCTCATTGGGTCCCTCAATTTTCCTCTCATATAACTTTTCTCCATAGTTATATAGCAAATTTAAGTCACAGTTGTTGGAAATGAATACATTCCTTAATCACATACTCCCTCCGTTTCATTTTAATTGTCATTCTACGTTTTTTGCACAGATTAAGGAAACATTTAATTTTATCTATTTTCAAGAAAAAAACACAATTACCTATACACCTAACCACTTTTCAACCAATAGAAAAATAGAATATTATATAAAACTAATAAATTTTATCTCGAAACTCTAAAACGACACTTATTCTGAAATGATTTTTTTCCTCCAGAATGATAATTAATTCGAAACGGAAGGAGTATATGATCGATAAGCCTTTAATTTATTCAACCAGTTATGATAACAACAATTGTTTTCTTTATTATTTCTGTTTCATTTTATATTTATTTCTGGGAATAAATATGGAATTAACATAATTTTTAGAACATAAAATATCATCATTTAAGTTACTATGTCCTTTTAATTTTTAAATGAAGAAGAATTATTGACAAAAAAAAGTGAAGACGAATTAAACAAGTTACTGCATAAATTGATTATATTATCAGTGTGTATATATATATAAAAATGTAGTATATTGCGTGAAGAATTCAATTGTATATTCTAAAAAATGTAAATTCAGAAAGAAAAGAGGGATTAAGAGAATAATCATTAGATTTCGATTCTAAAGACTAAAGCCCAAAAATTAAAGCTCGATCAGATTCAGCTTTTACCGACGGCTTTTTCTTATTTGTTTCATTAAAGAAATGAAAATTTGGAACATTTCAGGAAAAAAAAAATAACAATCCTCTTAAAGCTAGCTAAGAATTTTTACTGGAATATAGATATTTCTTGCTTGTACAACAAGACATGATTGTAGAACATATTTTATGCGCAGGAGAAAGGGTTATTTATTTATATTTCTCTATAAACAATAACTCCAATTTCTTATATAGTTATGGTTCAGAAAAATAAGTTGAACAACCAAAAACACGTCATACGAGCATCTTGAGAGTTGTAAGTTTCTGATAAAGTCCACTACCAGTACTTGTAGTTTTGAGTGGCTAATATTATTAGTGTCGTATTGTGTATTGTGGCAATACACATAACACCAAAAGATGTATGTGTACGAAAAAAGAATCTTAACTTTTGTTCACAAGGGTTGCATTTTTCGACATAATTTAAGAACTGTTTGATGGTTCAATGATTGAATGTAATTCACCGTATGGATGAACGGTAATGTTAAAATTTAAAATAAATTCATTCAGTAATTCTTAAGTTTATGTACTCCCAAAACCAACTCAGCTAAATTTCAAGCTTTTAATGATGCATTGTATACAATTACAATCATACAAATATTAAAGCTCAATCAATAAATATAGACTGGCGAAATCTTTTTTTTTTTTTTTTTTGCCGTCTAACTTTAATTTTATTTAAAAGTCCAAACTTACAACATGGGCCAATATTAAAATATATAGACTGGCGAAATCTACTCTAGTCTCCATTGCAATTGGCAAACGCCTTATCGAATAAAGTTTTTCTTTGACCAACAAAAATCGGATTATCAAAAAAAATAACCAGTGTTCTGATTTTGGAGAAATTACTTATATATCAACAAAATCATTGTTCTCACACATAATCTAACTTGAATATTATTGTAACGACCCTAAATTCTTCATATTTAAAGAGAGATTAAGGCTCAGCAGACACGTTTTGGGAGAACAAAAACACGATCAATCAAAATTTGGCTTCGAAATTTCCAGATTCGATTGGATTTTTGGGTCACATGGATTTTGAGGCAGGAGTTGCAATAATCTTCTCCAGATCTACTGCAATCCCTGCCTCAAAATCCACGTGATCCAAAGATCAATCAAATCTGGAAATTTTGAAGTCAAATTTTGATTGATCGTGCTTTTGTTCTCCCAAAACGTGTCTGCTGAGTTTTAATCTCTCTTTAAATAGGGATGAGTAACAGGGGAGTTTTATTTATTTTCAAACTTATGCTTTTATCGAACATTTTGGAGATTTATTATGTTATTTGGATTCATGGAGTTTAAAAACGATTTATGTGATTTAATAAATGAAGATTTTAGATATTTTTAGTTATTATATTATTTGGAAAATGTGGGTGTTACAATTATGTTGAATATACAATGCTAACAAATTTTCAAGAAAATGCCGATCCCAGAACATTGGGTAATTAATTTTAATTATTATTAAAAATATATATTTACATTTTTAGGCAACTTGCAAGAAAATGCAGATCGGAGAACACCTGAGAGATTCCTCTCAAGTGGATCAAAAAACTTCAGCGTATAGTGTTGGGTGCGGTGCCAACCGTGCCATTTTCTACTTCATTACATCTATGGACCATTTTAGGTGGTCAAGACCATGCATCGAGTTTTTAAAATTTTCAATTATTCTAGTTACTCTTTTCATTTAAAGGATATCTTATATTACTCCAATAATTTATACGAATTCTGGCTGGATTCACTATAAAGAAAACAATAAGGCAGAGGAAGGGATTTTTCTCTTTAAAGTTATATTGAGATTAGATTCCCTCCCCTCTACATACAACCAAGAGAATCTGCCAATCACTCCCATGTCCCATCCCTACTTTCCTTCAAAAAGATATACACACATATATATATGCTTAATTATTGAGCTTTACAAGAACAAATAACATTTTAAAACGGTTAATTACATCTATCTATATATATTGATACATACTTTAACAATATTTTGTATAGAACTGAACACAGATACTAAATATCCGTTATGAATCCTATCCGATCCGTATTCACTTAAATGCTTCTCGGATATCATGTATTCTTGAACTATATGTGACGTACCATATACGTACCCTAAGTCCCTAACACGTATCATTTTCTTATAGTACTCATCTTTCGAATTTTATAATTATGGTTTTGAATTGTATATATGTTTCTTAATGTGATAATTATACGGTTCCATCCTTCATTTTGTTAGTAGATACATGTAGCTAGACTTTTGTGTGTATCAAATCCTGATCTGGAAATAAGATTCTTTTTATTTTGAACTGAACACGAATCATAGTTAAAATAAGATTCTTACCGAGAAGAAAAAATAAAATTTTCTAAGTACAAGTGGTTTAAAGCATTAATGATGAAAATAAGAAAAAGTTTTTTTCAACAATTGATATAACTCCAACATTTAGCAACAAAAGAAAAACAATTGATATAACATTTGACGACTAAAAAAATTAAACCACACAACAGTAAACATTTTTCTATCACGTAGCTAAAATACAAGTAGCTCATGATAATGACTTAATGAGCATCATGAATACAACGATGTATGGTAGCTTAGTACATTTGCAAACATACGACATGCGTAAATATAGTTTTGGTACCATGCATGCACATACGTAGGTCTATATATTATTAATCATACAATCCGTTGTTTGGTAGATATATAGCTTATTTATAAAAAAAGACATAGATTAAAGAAAACTTTTTAAAATATTACTAACACAATAAATCTCGAATTATCATCGAGATACAATGTATAGAAATTGTTACAGTTGATCACCCATCAAATGTTTAAGAAAAAGTTATAAGACTACGACTTTTAAAAATCGTGCAAAACCTAAAAGACGATGTCGATATTTACAGAGCCACACTTAATCATATATAACAAAACAAAAACTCATTTACACGTAAGAAGAAAAACAAGAGAGGAAAGAAAAAGTAGGTCCATGTTGAGAATAGGATAGAGAACGGTGATACGAATTGCAATAACACAGAGAAAATAGGTATGCACATACGAATGTGACCATTAAGATAGATAGATGTCCATACGACCAAAAGCGAAGTGTACACAACCTCTCTTTTGGTCTGATCTTATTGCCATATAGATCGAAAAAAGTAACACGACATTATAAAAGGTAACGTATACAAAAAAAGTGGTGTGAAATCAGGAAATGATCGAAGAAAGACAATAATGATATAATTAAATTTAAAGAAAGAAAGAGGAAAGGGTCAAGAGATAGGGCTGGGTTGCGGGTCAAACCCGCCCCGTTGACCCGCCAACCCGCGGGTTTTAGTTATTTTTTTTGCCAAAAAATCCGACCCGCACAACCCGCAAACGTATAAATTTACACCCGCACCCGCCCTGCTTAATTTTGCGGGTAACCCGCGGGACCCGCGGGTTATATATATATTTTTAATAAATAATTATTTAATTTATTTTTTATGAAAAAGTAATAAAAATAATATATTTATAATAAAATTATATATTTTAAAATTTTTTAATTATTATTTTTTTAAAAAACACGGTATTTTTTTAAAAAAATATTTATTTTCCAAAAAAAAAACTATTTTCTAACAAAAAAAAACACAATTTTAAAAAAAAATGAAAAAAAAAATTTTTTTGCGGGTTGGCGGGTACCCGCGATTCAAAATCCTCCAACCCGCACCCGCCCCGCATAAAATATTCATAACCCGCACCCGCACCCGCCAATCGATTTTTTCAAATTATTCAACCCGCACCCGCCCCGCAGCGGGTAAAACGGGGCGGGACCCGCGGGTAATGAATCATATTCCCAGCACTATCAAGAGAGCATATATTCCCTTCTCCAACAGAACCCCACTCATGTTTCCAGATATGGAGTGAGAGAAGAAATAAAAATAATTACATCAACCACTCCAAATATTTTTTATATAAATCCTCCATATCTTCGCCAACAAACCCAACAATCTTTGAAAACAATTAACCCTTTTTATTTAGATTTTCTTGGGTGTGGTCGTTCTTGATTGTATATTAGAGAGTGAGAGACTTGTATGTGTTTAGTAATGGAGAGCAACACTAATAATTGTAATAATCAGAAGACAAAGGTGAGTCTTGTGCTGTCAACAGATGCTAAGCCTAGATTGAAATGGACTTGTGAGCTTCATCACAGATTCATCGAAGCAGTTAATCAACTCGGAGGACCTAACAGTACTTGATCTGTGTTTCATATTCGTTTGAATGTTCTCTATCCCCATTTTATCCATTTTTGATTGTTTTTGTTTGTTCTGTTTTGTTTTTGCAGAGGCAACACCTAAGGGTTTGATGAAGGCTATGGACATTCCTGGGCTTACTTTGTATCATCTCAAGAGCCATTTACAGGTAACTAATGTGCACCAGAATCTTTGATTTGAATCAGTGTTATTAGTTTTTTTTATTTCTTTTTGTTTCTGGAAGATCAAGTTTGGATGACTTTATTTTGATATTCTTACAGAAATATCGGCTAGGGAAGAGCCTCAAGTTTGATGATAACAAGCTAGAAGGTTTGAGATTCTTCTACAAATTTTTGAAATTTATAATGTTCTTATGAAAAAGATAAACAGATTAATGAGTTAATAAACTTTAAATATTTTTTTTTTCCTATTTATAATTTGTTTCTTGGTCTAGCAGTTTCATCTGCTTCAGAAACCCAAGAAGCCGAGAGTAAAAAGGATTCTAGAGAATTTAGAGGCAGTGTCAACCAAGAAAACAACAATCCAGCTAACGAGTAATTAATGATCAGATGATAAAAAAAAAATTTATTTCAATAAATTAAAATTAACTGTTTGGTTTATTTTGAAGCAGAAACTTGCATATCACGGAGGCTTTACAACTGCAGATGGAAGTTCAGAAGAAACTTCATGAACAAATCGAAGTAATAGCAGCAATTAGATCTCCTAATTAACTCTTATTAAGCACAATAACTTTCTTTAAGTTCTTGAAAAAATGTTTTGGTCTTAGGTTCAGAAACATTTGCAAGTGAAGATTGAGGCACAAGGAAAGTATTTACAGTCTGTGTTAATAAAAGCTCAACAAACTCTCGCTGGCTACACATCTTCCAATCTTGGCATGGACTTTGCTAGAAGCGAGCTCTCTAGATTAGCTTCAATGGTGAATCCAAGTTCTTCCTTCTCAGAGCTAACACAAGTGGAAGAATATGGAGAAGAAGCAGAGGATGTGGAAGACGGATTCTTGTGGTGCAAGAAACCAAGAAACAGAGGAATTAGACAGCCAAGATGTTCAGTTGAGAGCTCGTTGACATCTTCTGAGAGCTCAGAGACAAAACTGAATAATGATAACGACAAGAGGAAATCGATGGAGCTCCCGTTGATGGAGATCAAATCAGAAGTGATGAAGGAGAAGAAGACTAAGAGAAGCTTAAACGACGTCCTATGCGTGGAACATCAGCCTCTAAAGAAAATGGATTTTGGAGTTGATGATGATGATGATGAGCAGCACTTGAGGTTGAGTTTGAATAGTTACAAGAAAGACATGGGGACGTGTCCGAACATAGGACTAGGGTTTAATTGAAAAAAGTAACATTTATTATAATATTTAAATATTTTTAAAATATCGAATATATGCGTAGATTTCTATAGATAATATAAAGATTTTGTGAGTAAGTCGGGGTGAAGAACGCATGGGAATATTCTACACGAGTCAACATGATTTATACTCCCTCCGTTTCATATTAAGTGTCGTTGTAGAGAATTTTTTGCGTTACAAAATAAGTGTCGTTTTCGGTTTTCAATGCAAAATTTATTAATTTTATTATGTAAGTAGTTTTTCTATTGGTTAAAATATGGTTAGGTGTATAGGTAATTGTGTTTTTATATAGGAAATATGTAAAATTAATTGTTTCCTTAATCCGTGTGTATAGCTACAGAGTGACACTTATAATAAAACAGAGGGAGTATAATGTAAGAAACAATGTGTGATAGATATGTGTGTATAGATTGGGTGTGGAGGCTTGTGGATGTGGTAAAGGCGGGAACTTTTTATGATAAATGAAAGAAGCAAAATGATTAAATTAGAGTGGCTTTTATCATTATGTCCCGACCATGATAAGCATGTTGGCTTCTCAGTGGTTATTATATGACAAGACGAACCATATACACTTTGAGGCCTCAAGAAACAAATTCGAATACCTTACTTAATTAGCAATCTTGAAATTTTCTTTGGAAACAATTTTATTAGACAGTTTGTGAATGTCGAATAATGTTTTGTAACATAGAGGAAAGAGAGTCACGTGTTCATGAAAACGAGGCTTCTCAGTTTTTTTTTTCTATCCCAAGTGAAGATGATTAACCGGAGTATATAATAACTCATTAAAATTGTGGTACTTTGGATACTTTTCTTTGAATTAATTTGTTACTAATATTTTTGTTTACAACTTTTTTTGAACGTAATTTTAATCTTTTTAAATTGCATCCTCAACTTTGTTTTGATGATTTTTCTTCTTAGTTGTGTCCACAATTGTACATCTAATTTGACACCAAAAACTTAGAGTTGACATCATTCTTTCTTAAGTTCACAAAAACATATCGGCCGTAAGTTTCTTACTTACTGATGTTAACATCATCATGATGAAAAAAATGTGTGTACACACTTTTCATCACGTTTTCTCAATTAAAATGATGTAACACTTTCAAAGTTTTTAAATTTCATCCATTTTGAAAAAGTTACATAGTAATTTTTAAGTTAGATTTTTTTTTGTAGAATATTTTGTTTAAAGATCTTTTCATAACATAAACTGTTTCTACTAGTATATATTGAACACTATACTAAATGAACTATACCATAAAATGAAATCAAATCATTTTCTTCATTTGGTCATGAACACTCTCATCTCGACCCCCACCTTAAAAGAATGAGAAAACACACAAAATGGGAAAATGAGAAGAAGAAAAAATGAACTCAAAGATAATATTCATGTGCCATTTCTGAATAACTAAATGTTCAGAAATTTTAAAATACTACGTACATGTAATGTAAAGATTGTATTGAAGAAATTAGAAAACCAAAAAAGAGTTATATACATGTAGAGTTTCCTTCTTCTTTTTCCTTCATTGTGTGTAGAAATTAACGAGAATATACAATACGATCACCGAACATTTGTGCTTGATTTATGTGAGTTATGAATAATTCAATACGATCACCGAACATTTCTGCTTGATTTATGTGAGTTATGAATAATTCAATACGATCACCGAACATTCTGAGAGACAGAGTTAAATAAGAATGAAATTATTGACGATCTTTTTCATTGTCTCATCCAAAGATATGTGTTCTGAACCCGTGATATCTATATAGCCAAAATCATGTTTTGTCTGAATTCAACTATTTTGGCTTCCCATGATTCCAACTTCTGAGTATAATGTGAAAACGTTCATGGGTATCTTCCAAATAATGTGAAAACGTTCTTGGTAGTATCTTCCAAGTCATGTAAATTATGGCTCTGACATATGCAATGTTACGGTCGGGTGAGGTCAAAACCATCTAATACAATTGGTGAATAAATTGGCATGCTAATATGAATTAATACTTCAGTGATTAGAAAGATAACAAATGTTTTTTTTTTCGAAATGAAACACTAAAAATATATACTTTTTGCCAATCAAACATGTTTTAGAATTAGCATAGAACGTTGGATTAGTTATATTACAAGAAATAATTTTGTAATATGGGAGTTTACGCAAATATATTGTTAATTAATATTTCTCATTTGTTGTAGTTTAATTTGTCGTCGTATAGTAAAATTTTCATTATAAATAAATGTTGAGTTAAAATTCATGTAAAAATTATTAATAGTATTTTACAGTTTATTTTTATATTGATAAAATTATGGTTAAGTGTATAAATAGTGTTTTTATTTATAAAATATATAAATTAAATATTTTTTAAATTTTTGTATGCAATCTAAAATGATAATTAAAATGAAATAGAGTGAGAGTTAGTACATTTTAACAACTTAGTTTGTGGGTAAAGATTAATGTTAGACATCAATTGTACTTGACTGATGTAAACCGAGACTGTCTCATATGCACATGATAGCTTTTTTTTCTTTTCATGATACCACCTTTTCGCATCCGATGTAGAGTTTTGGATCCAACTTAAGGCACGTTCTGCTCAAATGTTATATGTTTGACTTATTCGAATTTACCCCCCCCCCCCCCCAAAATATG